ATTATGTCAGACGAGGTTTGGCATGGATATTAGGAAACATTTTTTTCACTGAAAGGGTTGTTAAACATTGGAATAGACTGCCCAGGGAGATGGTGGATTCGCCATCCCTGGAGGTGTTTAAAAAAAGGGTAGATGTGGTACTTAGGGACATGGTTTAGAAGTGGTTTTGTCAGGGTAGGTTAATGGTTGGACTTGATGATCTTAAAGGTCCCTTCCAACCTCAGCAATTCTATGATTCTATGATTCTGTTGGGGAAGCCGTTCCTCGTGAGGAGGGGAGCACGTCTTGCTAGAGGGAAGGCTGCTTTTCCCTTACCCCTGTTCCTCCTGTTGGAAGCAGTGCTATCATTCACCTTGAAAACAACAAGCCATCAAAGTCAAAGGAAGTACACAAGAAGTGGAAGCCCTTGGGTCTGCAGTGGTGTCTTACCTTCATTGCTCGCTCTTATTTATGCTTCCAGCCTGGCACATCACATGCGAGATCTACATTAAAACAGTCTCAAAAAGGAAACAAGGAGTAGTTTTCACCAGCAGGCAACCAGAAAAATGCAAAATGCTTCCTGCTTTCAGGCCTGAAAGGTGCTGCCTTTCACATGTGTCCTGGTTTGAGGTAAAACAGAGCCAATTTTGTGCAGTAACTTCATGTCTTAGCTGGGCCTCTAACTACTGAAATTAACAGCATATTGTGCAGACAATGTTCACTCTCTCAGAGTGATAAGACCTATGTTTATAGCTGATGCCCAGCCATGGTATGCAGAGACACTCTTGCTTATACTTATTGGTATAACAGCCAAGGCCAACCAACTTTGTTATTTGCTCCGTTGGAGGGTCGGAAGAAGAAAAGCATAGTGGGGTCCCACCTGCAAGGAGGAGCGGACAGGACAGGTGACTCAAGATTGACCAACAGGGTATTCCATCCCATCTGCCTCATGCTCAGTATAAAGGCTGAGGGATCAAAGGGTCGGGGCTCTTCCTTCAATGGCCGACGTCTGAGGAGGACTCTGTTCCTCTGCCTGCGATCCTGATCCTGAATGCAGATCCGGAATCCAGTTCCCATCTGTCACTGAGTCCAGCCTGGGACTGCCCCAGTGCCAGCCGGTGTCGTGATTTCATCTCGGGGGCTTGATACGGTTTTGTATATATTTCAATTTTTTTTATTATTATTTAATTATTAATATTTCATTAAAGTAGCTTAGTTCCTTCTGAACTCATATGTCTCTTTTTCCCTCTTCTGCCTCTCTTTGAAGAGGGGTAGAGGGGAGTATCTGTCGGTCCCATCTGGGATCCCCCAGGTCCCCAGTAGCCGATTTGGCCTAAACCACGACAACATGCAAACTTGGATGCTGGGCTTTTCTGGGAAGTGTTTGGATGCAGGGTTTGATGTCTCATTTTCGAGGCCGGTTTCAGGCATAAGCAGCGCGAACAGTGCAACATCCATCAGGCCTGATTAAGCCCGTCCTTACCCCACTGTCCCATCACATTACTATGGCACAGCCTCTCTAAGGCAGCTGCCCAGACCCAGGCTTTGACCCCACAGCCACCCATAGCACCATACCCTCCCCTACCACCATGCATGGCTTGTATATGCTCAGGCGTATCCAAATAAATTACAAAAGGCATGTGACTTCAGCAATCCCAATGCCTCCATACAAGTATCTGTTACAAGCATGCAAGCCTCTGTCCCAACTCCTTTAGCACTAATTAGTACACCCTGTGCAGATGTGCCAAACAAATACTGTTTCTGGATGTGCCAGCAGGACACCCTGTGTCTCCGGGGAGCAGGTGGATGGGAGATCCCAGGACATGAAATGAGTTGTGGCAGTTCCCTGAAGCCTCTCGCCGCGTCTGTAGGCATGTCTTCTCTCACATCGATGGATGGGTGAGGGTCACGCTCAGCAACCTTTCCCTTGCCCAGTTCGATTTGGAAGGATGGGCAGCTGAAACACCATAATGAGCCCAACGACAGCACTCATGAAACACCATAATGAGCTACTTTCCATGATCACATTTCCCATGAGGATCACACATTGCTAATAGCTGAAGAGAAGTGAAAGATCTGCGAGTTTGCCCTTTAGGTACAGAATTCCAGTCCAGATAAAATAGCTGTAGCGGCCTTTGAAATGCTAAAGAGTCGTAGGCTTACAGTAGTATCTGATAGCCCCTCCCCAGCACAGGCTAAATGAGAACTGGTTGCAGTTGCAGAAATTAGCTTTGAACTGGAGCAATGAAAATTCCTCTGCAGTTAAATGACGCAAACGCCCGACTATTTTTGCTTCTTTTAGTATCAATGACAGCAAATGTCTAGATATCACAGCCTCAATAAAGTTTTACTGCATTAAAGCTTCGTTTCTTGTTGAGCCTTCAGCTGTATTTCCAACCCCTATTGCTTTGAGAAAGAATAAGAGATAACACTGAAAAGCCTTTTCATGTGCCTCTGTAGCAGGCTCCTATTACAGGTATTTTAAGGATCCTCTGCACTAAGCTGATGGGACCGGGCAATTTACCTCAGTGAAAGACCATGATACATGGGCTGTTACTCTTGATATAGAGAAATATATATTTTATTAGACTCCCCGTTTCAGTCTGCCATACAAAGAAGGGGAGGAGGGGGTATCCAAGCAGAAGCAGACAGCTGAACAAAGTAGAATTCTACACTGAGCTTCCTGACATTTTGCCATTTGTTCTGCCTGTATCCTACCCATTTTTTAGTGTCCCACCCCGTTCAAACTCCCTGGAGTGTTTTGCTGGCACCAGAACCTTTTCCTGCTGCTGAAAAATCAGGAAAAGGGAGAAAAGGAGAGGACTTAGCAAAGGGATTAGAAGCAGGTAACATCTCCTTCACCCCGGGAAATGGTGGGGCGACACAGGGCTCAAAGAAAAAGAAGGGGAAAGCAGGCACGGGGGGGCCATACATTAATGAAACTGCTGGGGAAGGGAGCTGGTCCGCCTTGTAGGGCTTTTCTAGCTGGAGGAAGGACAGTTTCTCTCCACTTCTTGTGCTAAGGGTAGCCGCCATGCCTTGCTTTGCTGCTCACGGGTGAGTAGCGTCAGAGGAAAAGTGAAGAAAATAAGACCAAATCTCTACCATCCCTTGAAGAAGGTACCATGAATAGCTAAATCCAGATAGCCCTGCTCACGCAGAGTCAAGATCACCTTGTTCATGTTGAGAGGTACATAGCCAGGAGAGGGTAATGAAGGCCACCAGAACCTGGCCTCCTACAGACCCCTGCCAACGGCAGGTCCTGTGCAGCCAGGTGACAGCAGCAAAGGGGACAGGAATCAACTGGAAGAAAACTCAGGAAATCAACAAAGAGAAAATGGCACATTTTCTCACCAGACTACTTCTGAACTCCTGCTCATTGCAGGCAGTTCAGAGAAAGCATGGTCTATCTTCTGTTGCTAGAGAAGCCACACGAGAAAGATCAGGACAGTTTAGTTTCCAGTTTTCAACCACATAACTGGCAAGTGAGAGCTGGTTTTGATCACAGAGAGCACCGAACAACCCATCTGCATGCACATCCTGGTAACCTCTACAGCCACATACAGTCTTCTCTACCACTGGCCCCCTAACTTGTCATTTAAGCTGAAAGACACTTCTTTTTTTTTATCTGTGTGACATTAACAGACCCATACGCACAAAGCTGCCGTCACAGAGAGCAGCTTGTCCAGCATTTTCAAAGGAGACCCAACTGCACTAACTACCCAGTTCCTACCAAAAGCGATCACAGAAAATTAGTGCCAGCCTTACAACAATAAACATTTTGGCCTCATTAGGTTTAATAATATTGCTGATCAGAACTTCTGACTGAAAGCTGGGTGCTGATGCAACCAGGCTATGCATGCTTGCGTCTAAACTCTGCAGAAGTTTTAACATAAAATAGCTCTGGAGTTGTAGGAAAAGTGCTTATACCATTGGGCAGCAACATAAGAAAGCCTTAGTACTGAGAAACAGTAATGTTTAATAGGAAAATTTAACGTGCACATATAAAAACCAAAACACAAAATATAACATGGAATTAAATGATGCTTTTAATGAACTTAACCTATAAATATATGAACATATTTGTGCATATATATACATTACATCTATAAGGAAATGTTAATGCTAGTCAGTAGATAATGCACACTCAATAAAGGAGAGTAAATTGTAGATTCTTTTACAGACAGATTTATTGAAAGTATGTAAGAAATGAAAAAAAAACCCAAAACAACCCCAACCTTAAGATCATTCAATCAAAACGTAAAGAGTGCAAGAGAAAAAACAGTCCTAACACTTGCTACAGGAGCTGAGAATTCAATGGAGTTGTGGAAAATGGAGAACAACAGTGTTTGTTTGGAGACATTGTTTCTTGTCCTTGTATTGGGAAGGAAGGCTGTGTAAAAGGTCAGACGAGTACCATTGTCTCACACAACACAGGTCAGCAGAGATCCGAACTGAATGCTTTCAGAGAGGAAATATTGGGGGGTTGAGCAGAGGAAAAAGATTGTACCTGACAGACTAAAAAGAAACAGGTTAGGTTCTCATGAAGAACAGTTTTGATCTGCCCAAAGCCATGCAGACTGTCCATAGCTGAAATGGAGTGAGCACAAATACAGGCAAAGCTCTGGGTGCTGACATTTTTCGGCATCACACGTATTGCTCGGATGATCTTCCAGAAGAACTGAAAAACAGTGGGGTTGAAATCCTGGTATCTTGTCTACACTCATTCTCTTGCCGATGTACTGACCTCCTGAAAGAAGTCTAATGTTTATTGGAGCCCATTAGTTCTTTCAAAAGTCATCTTCTTCTCCCTACCCTCTGCTTCATTTTTCCCTTATTTCTGAGAGTTGTCCATGATCTCTTTCAAGCAGGCATCTTCCTTTAGAAAATCTTCAGAGAATATGGGGTTATGGACTTGATTGTCTCTTTTGCTGAAGTAACTGCATTGGTGAGAGGCTGTGAAAGTGTTTGGTCTGACCCATTGTGGCAGTGATCGTCCATCCTTCTATGGCTTTGGTCTCTTAGTATCTGCTCTGCATCCTAAAGCCCTCAGGCTCCCGTGATATTTCGTACTACAGAGAATTTGGACAAGAAAAGAAAAGAAAAGAAATAAAGAGTAGCTCTGGATCAGAAAACTCCTTTCTCAGAATGGTTCAGCGTATAGCACCCTGCACGTGATAGCCCTTCCTGTGTGACACACCAGCCCTCAAGGAAAACCAAACAGGCAGATTTTAATCAGTGAAAAGTTGACGTCTTTGGAAAGTTAGAAATACCAAAATCCACGTGAATCTGATCAATCAACTAAGTAAATAGATGGTTTTCTTCTCTTAATTGGCAGCTTTTTAAAAGTGGGTTTGTTTTGGTTTTGTTTGTTTTTTTTTTTAAATCAGGTTTCTGTGTTGCTTCTATCACGGTTTAGGCCTCAATTCTGCAAAACATGTAAATGTATTAGTTAAACAGATTTTCTTCACTAAACAGGTGCAGTTTCTTGCATCACAGAGGTGGAACTAAAACATCATTTAAACAAGATTTGAATGGGCAATGTGCTTTCTATTCACTCGATGCATGCAGAACCCCACAAATCAATCACATCGCAGCGTAGCACTTCTCAAGCCCCTGCTCCCTCCGCAGCCCCTTTGCAGAGTTCAAGGATAAAACAGGCAGCTTTTTCAGAGCACACCTTCCACCAAATGACACACCTCTGCTGAACAGGCTCCCTTGGGCTGTATCAGTGCAAAAGCTGTGCTAGCTTTTTCATGGCACTTTACCCCTTTACAATGCTGCAGCAGCCGCAGAGGCTCTTGCTGTGAACTAGGCGGTGGCAGAGCGGGTGGGAGGACACCAACCCTCTGGGCAGCTGTGCCAGCTTAAGCTGACCATGAATGTCACATGAAGCTGCAGCTGGGAAGTGCCACCGCAGCACCTATTGACGCTACAGCTGGCTTAAAAGAAGCACAGGTTGTAACAGCCTGTGATGCCTGCACGCACGCCTGTGCTGAAGGATGTGTTCGGTCAATGAAATGTCCCGCAACACAGCAGACTACTGGGCAGCCAAACTGTTGCTTTGATCCTAGATTTTCACATATCCCTCCTGTGACTCAAGGATGACTACTGGGGCTTTAAAAAGACCTTAATAAAATAAGTGCTGATCTCTGCATTAAGAGATTTTTTTCTTTCAGCTGCAGCTACAGTTGTTTGGTTACCTTTATACCACTTTGGCCTTCTAGATCAAGGGAGGATGGACAGAGTGGAGTTTAGGTTCCAACAATGTCTGTAGCCCACAACACTACAGTTCAAGCATGCAATTCCTGTAGGCTTGTGTGAAACACTTACCATATCATCATAATCCCTGTCTGGAAAACGACCTCTATTTGGAGAACGCATCTCATATGGGTTGTTTGGCTGATATCCTGGGTTTGCATGGCCAGAAGTGGTCTGAACTCTGGGGAACATCGTGGACTGTCTATCATCAGAGGTATTTGGGTTGGAATATCCTGATTTTATCAGGCTCTTCTTCTCTGGATCTTGTTTGTGTTTGGCTCTTCAGAGGGAATGAAAGAACAAAGGAGGTTTTAAAAGAACTTTAGGTGTACCTTACTTATTGAGTAAGTCCAATTTATTGAGTTGTCTACTCCCACCTTATTTTGAATGCTTAGTCCTGTTCTGAAACATGCAACAGATTTTTCTAGCATACCTATTGCAAAACCCTTGTTAGAAATGATAGAGTACAAAGTTTGGCATCTCTTATCACAGATGGGGCTAAACTGCTAGGAGAGTCAGAGGGGGACTTTGGCCTCTTTCAACTAATTCCTACAGTGAAGGAGTTTCCTTGACTACCACTAGCTCTAACTGACTATTCAGAGGAAGAAACGAGGCATTCATTACACCCAGTTAAGTAAAGTTGCCCTCATGCCTGTGGCCAAAGCTGGACACTCAGATAATGCATTTGAATTGTCTTTGACCACAAGTCCATACATCGCACACACACTCGGCACCAGCTCGTGCCCCTGCTATGGAGCTATGCCTGCTATGGGCAGTCTTGTAGGCATCTTTACCTGGGCAGCACTGAGAGCGAAGGCAGAGTTGCTGCTTGAGTGTTTGATATTTATTGTGTGGAGAGAAGTGAGGAGGTGCAACTGCAACTGGGAATGTGCCAGTACACCAGGAATAGCAAGCTTTAAAGGGATGTTTGGCTGGAAACACCACCTGTATTGAGCTGAAAGGGCTATGCCAGGCCTTGAGCTGAAGTGCTAGCAGGGAAAGCTGCAGAGGGTCTGAATTTGGGCCACCCAGTTTTCTGATATCAACACCCTTCTTCAGTCTCATACAGATGCTGTATCAGTACTGGCTAGGGCAGGATTAGGATTAATGGGCCTGGTGTGTATTTTCAAGACTTGGCTGAAGCTTTCATAATCAAATTCACTGTAAGAGAATAAATAGTTCTGGGAATAGCACACAGGCAAACCCAAATTCTAATGGCTACATGACTTAAATTGTCTGCCCAATTAGACATGCAACCACATTCGCAGCCCTGCCCCTCTCTAAATTTCTGCTTAGTTCCATGCAAACATGCAGCAAGGCAGCTTCTATTCAATTGTAAGAAACTCTTACCTTACTGAAACAACAGACACTGCTATCACTAAACTCAAGATGATGGCTCCAAACACTGTACCCACTATTATAAGGATGAGTTCTCTATCTGAAAAAAAAAACGACCAAACCAACAAACAAGAAACATCAATTGAAAACTCATGGTAAATATTGAAAACCAAGTTCTGTCCCTGTCCTCTTACTTTTAAAGAGAGAAAGAAAAAAAAAAAAGAAAAAAAAGAAGGGAGAAAGGGAGAGAGAAAGAGGAGAGAAAGATGTTATGCATTCCCAAGCTCCTGGTGCTGTCTCAGGACAACTGTCTGCGGGTACAGAAAGATGTAAGTTAAGGAACTGATCTTCTGGATGCCTTCTTTGATCCCAGCTCAGGTTCCTAATCCCATGCACTTAATGGCTTCACACATAGTTATAGCTGAGGGACAGGAACAATTGAGAGGGTGTAAGGGTTGCTTAAGCTGGTATTGCCGCTAAAATATACAGTTAGATGTCAAATAGGCTCTTCCCATGCCCTAGGCACATAAAGCACACCGATTTGAGGTGTCTGTTATGTGGCACTATGAACACTGCATAAGTATCCCATATCTGCATAAATGTTTGGCAAGGAAAATTCATTTTCACTGATCTTGCTGCAGAACTAGCATGACTAAGGGAGGAAGACATGAATTCTATATCTTCAACTGCGAAAGGAATTACTACTAAAACCTAGTTTTAGCTCTGCATAGCCATTGTAAGTTAAAAAAAAATAAAAATAAATTGTGTCTTGCAGGGCATAATTTCAAGATAAAGATGTGAAGAGTAAGACAGTCTCTTGAGCTACCAACCTTACTGGTGGTACCTACTTGAAGATTCCAGTCTGGATTTATGAGTTTGCCATTTAATACACTGAATGCCTATACTGGAGATACACAACACGAAACCACCAACTGTGCCATTATCAGCAGAAAGATGCATCACTGTTAATCATAGGAGCATACATCGAGACAGCAGGGAATATGATTTCTTGAAAGAATGTTACGCCAAACACATGTGTAAAGTGTCTTTGGTGATTGCTCAGCAAACATTTTACATCAGTACCCACCAAGTGCCGTGTGGAGAAGATAAGGCTATTAAAGGAGTTTATCATTAGCAGGTCCCAAATTCACGTTTAAATTCACAATGCGTTGATTTTGTACCAACTTAGCATTTTAATTTGCTTTATGAAAAAGGTCTTAAAATGCGCAAAACTTTATCAGGAAAATATGTTCCATGTGACAAAAAATATCCTTCCTGCCAAACATTTACAACTGGCAAGAATCACTGTGCTGCCCTACAACTACCATTAGCCAATCTCCAAAACTTTTAGGCAAAACCAGAAGCAAACCCTTGACAATCTCTGAGCTGCAGACACAGCTATGTTAAACACGTATAAGTTTAAGAATGCAGCAGTGTGAGACTCCGAAGGGCCATATGAGGATATAACTTTTGCTCAAATAAAGCCAAAGGAGTTGTGAGAAGTGAAGAACCATAAATGTTTGGTTTTCAAATTGCCTCTGACTGTATTAGATGTTCTGAATTTAGGCATGTGCAAACACTGGAAGGCATGAAGAATGTCTTCTTCTAATCTATATGAAGGTGGAAACTGGAGAAGGTGCAGCAAACAGCCACAAAACTGGAAAGGGAAGAAACTTTGGGAGGCCCATCTGGTTAGCTTGTCCACATGATTACAATGATGGGATAACACAGTCGGGGCCATCATCTATTCGCTGGTACAGAGTACTAGATGCTTGCAAGGTAAAGCACAAGCAAGAACCACTGATTGGATATTAAAGCAGAAACATTTGAAATGAGAGCAAATACACTGACGTTTTAATAGAGAGAGTCATTAATTACAGGAGAAACTATCCATTAGTGGTGCTGAGTTCAGCACTGCATGTCTTTAGATGAGGACTAAATGCTTTTCTGTCAAATAACCTGTGTTTGGCTAAAAACCACTGGACTTAATGCAGAGGTCATTAGAGGAAATACTGCTGTCTGTCTGAACATGAGTTTCAGGAAGGATTTTCAAGAAGGCAACAGTGGAATTTCACTCATTTTTTTTCTAACATTTTCCTGGTATCATTACAGGATGATGGTACCCCTCAAGACTTCTACTTGTTATTTTTGTTATCTCAGGCAGATTAAACATTACCAGGTATTTTTCCATGCTACAACTAAAAATCAGGAATTCTTGTACTTACTGTTATTGCAGTTCTCCCCAGAATAGCCCACTGGACAACTGCATGAGAGAAAAAAAAGAAAAAAGGGGAAAGAAAGAAAAGAAAGATAATGTCATTAAGTAGATGATCACAAAATAGTATATTTCCACCTTTTATCAGCAATTTCTCCGCAAGGTGTGTTCATTGCAGGTTTCCTCTTTAATGCTATCTTAATGTTGAATTCTTTAGTTTCATTGTTAGACTAAAACAATCCGAGATTTTTAGAATGATCGGTGAGCTGGGCACTCAAAGTTTCAGGTTCTCGGCCTGAAAAATGTTAAAAGGCCTAATTTCTCCAAAGAACTAAACCCTGCACCTCTGAACCACTTGGAATTGCTACCCACTGTCTTAATCAAAAGCCTCAATATAAGGTCTACAAGGACTGGCAGCTCTTTCTCTTCCTCCCATGTTCCTTTTTTATATTTAAAATGTATCAACTATATGGCAAGAAGTGTTCAGTGTGTATCAGCAATAATTACAAAAAGAGCTGAGTTAATGGATATGGGGAGCAAGGTCCCTCTGCTTATCCACTGGAGCAGAGCACAACCAGTCACTTACTCAGCTTCAGCAGCAAACACCACTGCTCTATTCTGATCCTGAGCTGACAGAATTACTCACAGAGAGAAAACTAAGACGAAATAACATAGGTCTGAAAGTTATCAGGAGACAGAGTCCACACTGATTTCCGTGGGACCTTTCCAGGGATTTGAGGCAAGTCTTGCTCTAATGCCTGCTGCTTGCTAAATGCTTCAGCATACTAATTCTCATGGCTTTATTACTTTGAGGGAATAATTTATGTCATCATCCCACAAAATAAGCGTGAATTAGTTTATTTTCTTCACTGCCTCTCAGATGATCTTGGATCTCCTTGACTTTCCTCTGAGGTATTATGAGCGCACACCAACGGCTAATGCCAAGCAGTTAAAATGTCATAATTTGTGACACCACGGGAATTTGTCCACCTGTTAACCACCTTAGGCAATTCTCTGATTCACACAGCTGCAGGCTGTTCTAGATTCAGGGTGACCCCGTGTTCAATGTTCTTCTCCCTGTCTTTGCCTAGAACACAGGAACACAAGAAAAAGCTGAGTACTCACGGTACACATGTTTTATCATTCCTTTGAAAGTCAGGCTTGCATTTGCATACTGGAATCTCTTCTTCTTTTGCACAGTACTCATTTTCTTCATCAGTACAGTCTTTACTGCAATCTGTATATTCAGAGGGAAAAAATACGAAGTAAATTGAAGATAGCTCCCAAAAAATCAACATTGGAGAAAATTCTGCCTCCCCCCCCTTTTTTTTTTTATTGCGATGTAAACACAGACAACTTTGTTGTGCTTCAGAGAACCAGAATGGCTTCTTTGGGGCTATACCTATGTAGAACAAAAACTGAAATACAAAAATGCAAAATTAAAAGTAAACAGTCTTTGTTTAAACTATCCCGCTTCATCAGAATGGAAATTTGACTAGGCTGCATCTTACATAGGCAAGCAATGACCTGCAGTTTGATCTCACAGCAGATCGTTTGTATTGCAACTGATCTAAAACTGGATCAGATTTAGACAGGTTAGGGGCCACAAGGGCCTAGACTGGTTCACATCTCACTGGCCTTTATTGTAGCCAGCTTTCATGATTTTATCATGAGTGTTTGCAATATTTGTAGTTTTTCTTAAAATCTCATATCTTAGACTTTTTTTCTGTAGTGTGAAAATTTTAGTTTTCATAAGAAGAAAATAAGGTACATTTCAGGGCTGTGGAGGATAGCTAAAAATATAAACAGAGTACTCATTAAAAGTACCAAACACACAAATACCAACACACAAATAAAATCCCAACAACTAAAATTTCCTAAAAATCACATAAATCATTCTTCCCACAAAAGCCTTTCTAAAAACAGGTGATGCAAACCTAGAACTACTAACAAGGCACAGAGCTCTAACAGATCGCTGTAGTGTATCATGAGACTTCCAGTTCTGTTAGTATTCCCATAGCTGCCTCCAGGTAGCATGTAGAATTTATTCACAAAATATGTCCTAACAGAGAAGGCTCTGAATATAAGATTCAATTTGTTCCATATTTTACCTATTTAGGTTTCGGTTCTTACCAAGAGTTTAACAATGCATTTAAAGAGCTGCTTACTCACTGGTTTCAGTGATGATTTTCTCAGGCTTTAGTAGTTTATTCTGCTAGAATAGAATTTTGAATGTGTTTAAAGTGAAATGTGAGAATGTATTTCTATGGCTTTCTTAATAAGACACATATTCCCTGATTTTTAGAGGTTGGCACATTTGCAGAGCACCCTTTTCAAAAAGGGACTGAGACAGGGAATAACCAGGTCAGCTTTTCCAGGATAGATAAAGTAGCAAAGTACTTACCTGAACAAGACAAAACATCCCATTGTGTACTTGAAAAATTACTTTTGCATTTGCATTCTGGATACATTTGCTCTACGCAGTCTGTTGTTCGCTTATCACAATTAAAAGCTTCACAATAGGCTGCAACTTTAAAACAGAAACAGACAGGAAGCAAACTGAGTACTAATAATGTCTTTTTAGAGAAAGCAGTGCACCTGCTCTGTAAATCATAAACCAATTCTTTAGCAATTCTGAAAAAATACTTTTAAGTATTTTTTAGGGGGCACATTGATACTGCAGGCATTTGAACCAGGCTTTTCTTTTCCCATGCTGTTTACCAGTGAAGGTTCTGTTTCCATCCCATCTTCTGACCTTCTGTTTCTCAGCCTCCTACAACAGCCTCCAAACCTGCCTGCCCCGAAGTCCATGAAGAGAGAAATCCTACCCATTAGTTCACATTCAGAACACTGATTTGCTGACTGACCTTAAAAAAAACTATAGCAAAACCCCAGCACTATTCCCTAAGTTTTTTCTGCAACTGAACTGTGAGGCCCAGATCCCATACAGTTCTACATAGATATAAATGTTTATGAGCATGCAGCTCATTTCATGAGCAGCATTAATATGCTGTTTGCCCAATTAATATGCTGTTAAATCCATGTCCCAGTGGCAGCAATGGGTTACAGAGCTCAGTGGGTGGCATGCAGTAGAGGGATGTGATTGTACAGGTGTTTTGTGAATGCTAACTTTTTTTCTATTTCCCCCTCACCTTTAGGACTAGCACACAGGAAATGTCATGGTTGAGGTGGATACAGTCACCTTCAGAGACCAAACTCAGGCCATAAGCCATGAAATGGACTTATTTAATTATTAGCTACACCTTTTGCAAAAGTTGATTTCAAAACAGGAGCATATTACAAAAAAAATAAATAAAATGCTTATTTTATTCACAAAATCATTCTCCAAGTATTACACTTTTACTAACACAAGGCTTTACTCATTTAGACCAATGAATCACTTAGCTCAGTAGCTAATCAGTGAGACCTCATTTCAATTACCATGGGCAATTGTGGAGGAAGTCTAAGGAGAGTTTCATCCTATTTTGCCAGTAAAATACTGGCTTATTCTCAGAAGCACAATATATGTTTTCATATATTTTGTCCTGATTTTTCCAGCCACTTAAAACTCACCAGGTTAAAATCAACATGCCATCGCTTAATTGGTAACAAGTATTTTCCTTCTCTCCTTTACACAGGAAGCAGAAAGCCTTAATAAGACAAAAAAGCCCAGCACCGAATGGTTCAGTCGTCAAAATGACCCAAGATTGAACATTCAGCTCCTTAAAATCAAAAAGGCTTATGCTCTGGTGGCCTTTGCTGCACACAGAAATGTTCTAACCAGCTTTGAAGATAGAAACCTCTGTTTCTACTGATTATTTTCCACAGTAAGGAATTACATACCTCTGTATTCAGAGACATAGGGTGAATCTTTTGTTGCATTAGTTATTGCCATACTAACTGTCACATTGGTTACATTTGCATTCTCCGTAAACAGGTTTATTACTGTTACATTTGTTGAAGGAGAAGCTCTGACTTCTGTCGGAGATCTGTAAAGTACAGATAGTATTATTTTAAAGTCTCATATAATCCATATGGATAGCAAGCTAGATGCAAAGACAAAACATTTCTGCCAAACCTCCCCCTCTCCCCTAGCTTCTCTTATCCCACAATGTAGGTAGCTGCTAAGATACCTGAAAATAAGTTCAAGTCTTGTTTAGGAATCCATCTTTTCAGTAGATCCAGATGTAAATAGGTATCTGGTAAGAAAAGGCTGTTGGATTTAATGCTAACACCGCTCCACCGCTCCTTTGTGTGCTGTTGTCATACAACTGATTTTTTTTTTACTGGGTTAGCCTCAAGCCAGCTGCAGTGTGGAGGACCTCATCTGTTAGACACTAACCTTTACGTGCTCATGTCAGCCTGTGGTGTCATCCAGGCATGACATGCAAAACCCAACCTGAAGCGGGGTGAGGATAATTCAGGGTATGACGGCAATGAATTCAGAACGGTCTGTTTGCAATGTAGAGGTATCTATGCTAACTGCTTGCTAGCTGGGTTGGGTTCAGCTGGACAGCTATCTCCCTGGGGCATAAGGTGGAGATCCTTGTTCTTCAGCTGAACTTTGTGCTTCTGGGGTATGCATAGAAATACCTTTAGGTGGTAGATTGCTGTAGTGACTTAAGATGGTGCTGTGCCCATGTGTTTGTCACAACCCCTCTACTGAAAGTTACTGCCCTCATAACCCTGCTAGAATAACAGTCTGCTTAATTGCTTAATCCATGGGGTTCACTGAAAGGGTTTACATTGCTCTGTGTGCTAGCATGACAAGTTTGGCCTGATGTGGGTTAGGGAGCACTCACAGAGGAGCTGGCAGAGCTCTGGGGCAGTAACCTGTAACAGATGGGGATGGGAAGAGAGGGACAGCTTACACTGTCCATCTAGATCGGGAAAGAACCTATGCCCGCAGCTACAGTCACCACAGCACATTCAATAACATCTTTGCTCAGCCTGCCATCAGGAGACACCAGCAGATGCAAAAGGAGATGCGGTGAGCTTCTGCAATGAGGGCATTTCTTAAATTAAACTGGGACTCCACGTTGGACCTGTTCACAGGAACCTCAGAGTTAACTTACAGTTTCAGAGGCACTCAGATCTCACAGGGACTGCTTGTTATAGCATGGTGCTATATCCTACATGGTGCTAGAAGTGGGAGATCCACTGTGGAGCTGTCTCAGCCAGCCCACTTCACAGGCATATTGGAAATCCATGGGGTAAATATGGGGCCAGCATCCCAGAAACATTAACAATACAAGAGGAATGGCTGCATTTAACAGGATGTACTGAACTGAACTCATGCCATATCCTCTCTTGAACTCAGTACTCCATGGGAAACAGATTAAAATGGAGTGTGCGGGAAGCATGCACTGTGCAAAATCCAAACTGGCAAACTTACTGAATGTTTGTGATGACAGTCTGTTCAAAGCCTGATAAATTAGTGAGAGCATTTGCAAACTGTAAAAGATAAATGAATTGGAGTTAAAGGCAAGTAGATACATAGACCAAAATCACATGAAGCACTGAGGCTTCCGCTGTGCCTTTAATCCAGAACATATTACTACAGGCACAAATAAAGCAAGTTGATCAGTCACATCCACCCTTCAAGGTATTGCAGAAGACGAGTGGCAGGGTGGTGCTGTAGAACAGGGAATACAGGAGAACAGCGAAGGGGTGGAGAGACATCAGTTGAATGAGTGTCAGGCAGTGCGTTAGGGTTGACTCCCTGGATAGCTACAGATACTCCCTTGCAGACTCATCGCTTAGAAAGGCATCTCTGCGGTACCAACTGATGTACAAGTAGAGGGAAGAGGGAGAAGTAAGCATCCTCACAGTTGCCACTTGTCCTTAAGATACCGTGAAGTGGGATAATCAGGGGTTGATCTTGTGGGGAGAAGCACAGCACTGATGAAAGCGCTGGAGGTTGGATGGGGTCAGTAGAAAAGTCACTGCTCTCCCTCATCCCATGTGAAGCAGGGAACAACTGGTGGAGGTAGCTGCCTCCAACTGCCACACAAGCAGAAGGCATCATGAAAAAAGGATAAGACGTCCAAGTCAACTGAAATGAAAGGTAAACTATTCTCCTTTGTAAAAAAATAAAAAAAGATTTCTATGCTATTTTCATTTTTGCATACTATTACATATCTATTCTAGTGCTGCATATCACACACTTCTGTAGCCATGTCATGAAAAAATGCTGGACAAAAAAATTGAGGAAAATATTTTTTAACATTTTGGAGGGACAATTTTTGGTTACTTTCCAATAAAACATTCATAATAATTCATAAACTAATAGGGTTAAAATACTAATATTGGTATGTTTAAGGAAGAGACTTATTGTTTTGGTATTTAGACACAGATGGACAGCCGTTCTGAAAAGTTTGTGCTCTGTAGAAACAATAGCTTTCTTAAAAAAAAAAAAAAAGCTCATTTTTACATTTCATCAGAAACTAAATGGGTGGCAAAATGTTGCTCAGCCTTATGGTTTCTGGAAAGGGAATGATGAAAGATAAAGAGCAATTTATGTGAGAACTTTACAGAATAGAAGTGGCACCATAAATGCAGATATTACTTATTTCAAGTCCATCCCTCCACTTCAGCAAGAGCCACGCATGTACTCATCTGAGGGCAAAATTCAAGTCTTTTATGAATAGCTCTAAACTAGTGTGAAGCATTCTTTGAAAGAAGTAGATTTCTCAAGTGAAACTATTCTAGGCTCCACATTAAATGTAGCGTATATCCCCTCTGTCTGCGTGCCATTCAAGATAGTATTAAATACACAGAAAAAAAAACAACCATCGTCACTCACAAACATTGTTATCCGTTCGAACACCTCTTCATACTGTGTGGAATTTACAGTTTCAACACTATCATCGTAAGATGCATTCAGCATAATGACTCCTGGGAATATTTTCCCTAGAACAAGAACAGAGAATAGTAATTAATTATAAAGCATCAAGTAAGTCAGGTTTCACCTTAGAGTTCTCCAGCCTTCACAGTTGGGGAAATGCAATGCAGAAATCAGTCAGTGCTATTTTTCATATACTGGAAAAATCAGTAGGGCACAAATGTTTGCTTAGTCAATTCAGCCACAACAGGCGATGTACTCTGGCTACCTGGGAAGCAGGCAGGATCCTGGGCTCAACCAAACTAGCCAGACTGTGAAACTCAATAGTGTTAGATTGTAAGCATGGCCTGAAGCTAATAAAAGACTGCATCTAAGGTGTTACAGCATTTAGTGAGAAAATACCTATATTAAGGACTCCAAATTTGCAGCCACTAAGCAGCTGACATGGTTCACCATACCTGAGAAAGTAATTAAGTGTCTATCTACTACTTTAGGCTCACAAGTAAATTTGAGAACCATGCTTGCTGGCACTTAAATACTCAGCCCCATTTGCTCACATGCTTGGCCTTCAGCAGCATCTCAGAGATTTCAACAGGACTGTGACGAGTGTTTAGCAATAGGGAAAATCAAGCCAGTTGTTCAAAGGTCTTCATGGGTTTGTGCCTTTTTAAATCCTGGCCATTAATACTGACATCAGGTTTACACTTGCATTTTTTCCTGCTTTTCACTCATTTTAATATCCAGCACCCCTGACAGCGAGCTCACCTTCTCTTCCTAGCACATTAACCTCTTTGGCTGTTACTGTTTTGTCAGATAACAATCTAGGTCACTGTAGCAGTGACTGTCTGCAAAGCAAGGCATTATTCAGCAGTCGCTTTCCCAGACTGATTGCTTTCAGTTATAACATGAGAGCAAGGGATATGGGAAGAAAAATTCACCTGAGCAGTTATCTGTGAAGTAACTAAAAATATAGATTGCCCTTCTGCAACTCACCTGGGTAACAATTCTTCTCCTTATAGTAGAATCCATATTCGCACTGGCAGGTAAAACCACTATATAAAGCAATACATTTAGCCAATTTTGTTCCACAAGGGTGTGGGTAGCAGAAGTTCCCTGATACAGAAAGGAAAGATATTGACGTCAGGATTTCTATGAAATTGTGATAGCCAGTCCATATAAAAAAGTACTTCATATATTAAATAGTTCATATATACTTCTACTAAAAGAAACTACCCGGTAGGTTTTATAGAGTATAGATGCAAATAAAGAGCACATGGCTACATCTGGCTTGCTTAATGTTTGTGTAGTAACTGTTTTCCCTAC